CAGCCCCGGCTCCCCGCTCCGGCCCCGCAGTACTCTGCAGGCAGCGCTGGGCCGACTCCCAACGGATTCCCAGCCCACCAGGCACCTGCCTACCCTGGCCCCAGCACGTACCCACCGCCTGCCTTTCCTCCCGGTACCAGTTACCCTGCTGAGCCTGGTCTGCAAAGCCAGCAGGCTTTCCGGCCCACAGGCCATTATGCAGCCCAAACACCCATGCCAACCACACAGAGCACCCTTTACCCAGTCCCGGCCGACAGCCGTGCCCCCCATCCAAAGCCACGCCAGACATCACTAGCCGACTTGGAGCAGAAGGTGCCCACCAACTACGAAGTGATCGCCAGCCCCGCCGTGGCCATGTCGTCAGCCCCATCCGAAACCAGTTACAGTGGCCCCGTGATAAGCAGCAGCTACGAGCAGAGCAAGACCCCAGAGCTGCCCCGGGCCAGTGACCGCAGCAGCACGGGCCCAGCCCCCACCTACCCCTCTGACTCTCACTACGCCAGCCTGGAGCAGAACGTCCCTCGGAACTATGTGATGATTGACGACATCAGTGAGCTGACCAAGGACAGCACCTCCACGGCCCTGGACAGCCAGCGACTGGAGCTCCTGGGCCCGAGCGGCGGTGGGCGTCCAGGGAAGGAGCCAGGAGAGCCAGGGGCCCTTGAGGGGCCCACACTGCCCTGCTGCTATGCCCGGGGGGAGGAAGAGTCCGAGGAAGACGCTTACGACCCCCGTGGAAAGAGCGGCCCCCACCGGGGCATGGAGAGCGATGGCCGAGCCGCCAGCACCCACTACTACGGTGACAGCGACTACCGCCAAGGGGCTCGCCCAGACAAGTACGGTCCAGGCCCCACGGGGCCCAAGCACCCCTCCAAGAGCCTGGCCCCGGCCGCCATCTCGAAGCGCAGCAAGCACCGGAAGCAGGGCATGGAGCAGAAGGTCTCCAAGTTCTCGCCCATCGAAGAAGCCCGGGATGTGGAGTCAGACCTGGCCTCCTACCCTCCCGCCGCGGGCAGCAGCGGCCTGGCCTCCCGGGGCAGGAGGTTCCAGGACGAAATCACCTACGGGCTCAAGAAGAACGTGTATGAGCAGCAGAGGCACTACGGGGCGGCCAGCCGGGACGCCGTGGAGGAGGACGACCGCGTGTACAGCGGGAGCAGCCGGTCCCGGG